TTATCTTTATTAAATGTGACTGAAGAATAGAAATCACGGTCTACCGAAAACGTACCACGACAGACCGCATCCTCAAATGCAACGGGAACCACCCTTTGTCCCACCTGAAAAGTTGTGTACAAACTCTATTCGGCCGGGCAAATACATATTGCAACATACTGGAGCTAAGGACAAGAGAAGAAAGCCAACCGTTTCAACTATTATCATCTAACGCATATCCCGGGAGATTTATCAACGCGTGCCCCGGAGGTAAGAAGCAAATGGCATGTATAAAAGAAGGAATTTGGATAACGCGGCACGTCAGAAACCACCGACCGAATACTCTGGGAATCAAGATCGCCCACAAACCAAGAGCAACCGTGCGATCGATTCTTTTCAACGGTAAGGATTGAGTCAAACAGCGCGAAAGGTCAGGAGTAATCTACACAATCCGGTGTCTAGGCTGCAACCAACACTACGTAAGTGAGACAGGCAAACAGCTACGCACTTGCTTACACGAACGCAAGCTTGCCCTCCGACGCGCTAACCCGCGGTCACAAATCTGGAAACACTGCGCACGGACGGGTCACAAGATCGCGATCGATAACGCAAGGGCGGTGGCACGACGTGATAAGAAGGGGAACAATTAATTCTCGAAGCTTTACACTCGGTCAGTTCGTTTAACCGACACTTTGAGATAGACAAACATTACGTCACAGTCGCAAAACCCGTGACTATTGGTGGACTGAGGGACGCACAAACAGCACACATGCTCACGGAATGTCGGTAATCCCACGGTAATCTCATGGATTCACGTTTCACAACGAGCCTTAGTTTGGATCGAAACGTTGCAATAAACATTTTATAACTCATTAAAAGCCTCCATTCCCTCTTGATATATATATATATTTATATATATCAAAAGAAATGACCAAATGGCAATACTGCATGATTTATGTCCAGGACGATTTCACTGCATCTCAACAAGGTGTGTACTGCAGAAAATACAATGTTTATATAGGGCTTTAGCATAGCAACAAAATGAAGCAAAATAAATTCAAAACAGACAAAACATAAACGAGGAAGGGGTAAAGGACCAATATCACCAGGGTAGGGAGAGACTAACATAAAGTTCTTTTTTTGCTGACACAAGGGAGGAGGGGCCTCCATCGATTAATCGCAATCGCTTCGACAAACCTTAGCAATTTTGCGACTTGTGACTTGTAGACAATTCGAAACGCTGTGTCTCGGACGACCTGGTTTTGCGTCATCAGCAGATNGCAGATGTCAAGTAATTGCTAAGGCCGAGGTCTTGTAGTTTCGACCGTCGTTTCTATGCGGCGGGATTGACCTCAATTAGGTTAGCTGATTTTGGACCCAAGTCGGAATATGATCCACCACCCGATTGCGCAATTGTCGCTCTGTGCGGCCCACGTAAGTTGCTCCGCATCCACATTGGAATTGGTAGATTAGATTAGATTTGGCGTACAGAGGCAGACGTGCTTTTGCCGGGGGTGTGAGTATCCTGGTTGTTCGGTAGACGATTTGGGGTCGGCTGCGTAGTAGGTTCGAGCGACTGCTGACCTCAGTCGTTTGTAGAGTAGGCGGCTTAAGTCATCACCTTTGAATTTAAGGTGTAATGTGACCCGCAATTTGGGAACTGACGTAATCGGTTCTTTCGCAATTCTCGGTTTGCTATATATAAAGATATATATATATATATATATGGGGTGACGTACCACCAGAAGGACGAGATTGCGATGGGATCTCCATTAAGTCCCCTTTTGGTCGATGTGTTCATGGTGAAATTGGAAACTGAAGTATTCGGTGCCTATATAGAACAATGTGTACTATATCGGCGCTATGTGGATGACATCTATTGTGTTGTCGATTCCTCACTGAGTCCCACTCTTTTGTTAGACCAATTTAACAAAGCCCATAATAACATAGGATTCACGCTAGAAACGGAATCTTCCGAATGTTTGGCGTTCCTCGATGTTTTACCCTCACGCTGCGAAAGCGGGTCTGTTCGACGTGGCATTCACCGAAAGCAGACTTGGACAGAACAGTACACAAATTATCACAGTTTTGTACCTCTACAGCGAAAGAAGGCATTGATTCGATGTATGTTGAACAGGACAAACCGAATATGCTCGCCTGATGCACACGGGGAAGACCTGAGGAAAATTGGAACGACTTTCATAGAAAATGGATATCCGAATAAGATCATTCAACAATGAATGAAGGTCACCACAATAGTGCAACCTGAAATGACGGCTAAGAAGAAACCTGTTGACGTGTCCATTCCCTTCAAAGATGACACATTATCTGAAACGATAAGTAAGCGTTTCCAGACATTTACACTTCCAAACCAGTTCTCTCTTTGCAGATGAAAGACAAGCTACCGGTGAAAATGACCTCATTCTGCATTTACCAATTCGTGTGTTCCTGTGGCACCACTTACATTGGTCGGACCACCCGCCGCTTGGCTGAACGCATTCGAGTACAACACCCTAACTGGATTAGTCGCGGATTGACAAGAACCGGGGGGACGGCGATCGCGGCTCATTTGGTCATAAACCGAGCATCATGTCAGAATGAGTGAAGCGGTCAGGTTCATCTACACGATCCCCGGGGTGAGATCGAGGCAGGACAAGCATCGCTTACTGTCAACAGCCGAAAAGATCGCTATTCGGTTGAACAACCCCCCCTCCCCTTGTGCGCTCAAAAACAGTCGATCAGAGCTCTGGATTTCCCATAACCAGCCACAAACGCTAGAAGGACATAAAGCCAGTTATCAAATGAGTGTCAAATCGCTCATTTATTTGATTCATTCGAGTGCAAATGATATTGGCAGAATGATTTGAACTCCCTTACTGTATTATCCATGGAATCCACAAATATGCATAAAAGATAGACATTATTTACGCCTATTCTATTCCCTTGAATTATGTGATTTTGTGACCTATAAAAGAGTGCTTTATTTGGCTGGTAAATGAGACACCGAAAACGACCTTTTTTGCAAAATTGACTTCTTGATGCAATCCGCGGGTATTTTCCAGCATATATATATTTAAACAACGTGGCAAACAAGCTCGTTTTCAGTTATTCGTAATCATGTCATTACATGGCATTAGGTATGACTCACAACAAGAACAACCAGGCAATGAGAGAATATCGAATCCTAATGCTCCAGCTCCGGCTCCAATCATGTGTGCCTGTGTGTAGTTGATCACACAGTGTCAAACGTCCAAGTGATTGAACACGTGTTAAGGTGGCTGAAGTGGATCAGGGGAGGCAAAGTGCTTGCACAAATTTCTTCTGGGCTCACAATGGGGTGTGTGTGGTTGTGATTCCGAATAATTACGATTTTGGTCATAGCTAAGATACGATTCTTCATTATTCTTGATTGCCTACATCGAACCTTATAAATCGGGCACAACACATTTGCCTCATGCACTGAGTGATTTGAGTCAGCAGGATGCAAACCATACACGCTAGTAATTGTTCCTGTCCGCAGCCAAACCGGGTGGTGTTTGCACGCTCGACCGGAAAAGCTCCTGGTCGTGCGACCGGTGTGAACACAGTCCCATAGGAACAGGTTAACGGGTGAACACAGAATGAAGCTACATAATCTGGCACTCTGTCCTTCAGTCGGGGACACATGATTGGTTCAGATGTGAACACAGCTTTTCATTTTACAGCATGACGTGTGTTCTGCTTATGTCACTTGAGAAAGATTTTCNNNCCCCCCCCCCCCGTGTTGTTGCTAGCGGAGTGAACACCCAGACACCAGACCGCAGGTAAGAACATATCGCTGAGTAGCTTGATGATGTTTTAGATGTCCTTCCTAGCTCGCTTCCCCAATTTGCCTGATGGTGGGAAAGTGGTTAGGTTACCAAATTTTGACCTATCAATCCCGAGTTTGAACCGCTCCACCGCCACCCGTCTGCCCAGATCGGCTTTGTATGGCTGCGGCCCACTTTCCTGAATATTGACTGTACATTTGTATTTTCAATAGATAAAAAAAGGAAAAAAAATACATTTCCATTTTCCATACACATTTCATTCCAGTCTATTGAAATGGGCTACATCCACCAGACCCTGGTCTCTGCGAAATTGCTTAGACTATACAGTATAATTTCTGCTACTTACCATTTTGATATGTGATACAATAGAATTTCGATTACACACTAAGACGTGTGAATCAGAAAGTAAATACCCGGGTCCGATACTGTTCAGTTACGGTTTAGTCTGCCCGGATTGAATGTGGCATTACTTTTTTTTCTCGCAAGTTATTGGCCGACACATCACCAATTGCATAAGAGATTGTAGAATAGAAGCGGGCGTGGTCATTGCAAACGAGGTGCACTTGAAAAGCCAATTGTGNGTGTCCTGTTCCCGCCCTCCAGTCAATATGGACCGGATGTGTTGAAATCTTAGGATCAGCTAGGGATCGCTGAGAGCCCATTGGGGACACATCCAAAACATCGTCTACTGTTCGGTTCTATCTCCTTTTATGTGGACAATTATCACTCGGTTCGTTAAACCGGAGTTGTATAAAATGCGACACACTGGATTTTTCAGCGATAAAAGGTTTTTTCATTAAAGATAACAAACAGTGCTACGAACCCATTTTATGGTAAGGACAATGATTTGTGTAAAATAAAAAGGATAAGCGAACTGTAGTTGCCATGAGGTGCATACCGAATTGGTGGGTGTAACATTTTCCGGCCTACTGGGGTCGAATAATGCGGGTGACCTATGTTCATCCTCACTTCGTTGATAATACAAAAAAGTGCTTCGCTGTGCAGAACTAATTGTACTGGAAACCATCCCAGAGACACAATTAGATTGTACGCTAGAGATGCAGGAGACATGTTCCAACCTAGCCTTATTCGTGATGTGAAAAAGTTAACCATTGGCTAACTGTTACGAAAACCTTGTGGACAGATTGATCAATCAATTGGGTACAAACATTTTTGTTACCATTCATTTTGATCCACTACGGGCGAACTTACTGTTTTTCATGGTGAACAATGATTGATCCGTCTCACGTATTGTGGCCAGTTTCATATTGGCGGTGGAGCACCATGGAGGTTGAGCTATGGATTTAGTGAAGAAAAGAGGTGTTCGATAAAGGCAAATATCGGGGGTGAAAATCAAGCAATGCTTATTGATTAGTTACTATAGAACATGATCGTGTTGTGGCTTTGGGACAGCGAACTATAACAGATAAATGAAGTGCGTCGCGTAGACACACTCTCCATATGTCAACTTCATACAATAACAAAACGGACGGTCCCAGGAACCAAAAGCTCCCAACTATACCTTCAAATCACTCCCTGACGGTGCGAGAAGACAATTCTAATGAGACTTTCCATACTGACTCGCACAAAACAAGACTCCTTGCCGAATCAGTGAGAACCGTCGTGAGACTTCACCAAGGACACCGGAATGCTCTGTTTACACAGACTGCTTGTGACCCGTAGAGCAACCCCGAAACCTTCCACCGCTCCGCTCGGTGGAAATAAAACCTATCTCATTCTGTGAATATTTGGAACACAAATGTCAAGCATTCGGGAACCACACTTCCCCTTCGTGTGTCGAAGCATTCGGAGCTGAACTCTGTTACAAAACCGCTAATTTTCATTTAGCTTTGACAGTGAACTGAGAAAAAACGTTTGTTTCTTTTTCACAAACCGTGTGATTCTGGCGCTACAACCACAATAATTGATACGACAACAGACTGGTTGAACAAGTGAACAGATAGCGCTTGAAGTCGCACAAGTCGGATGTCTCTGATAACGGTGGCAATCACATTCTCCATTGCTTCTATATGGAGTTATATGCCATTGTGGGCAGAGAAGAAAACCGCCGGCCTGAATAGACAAATCCATAATTCTTAATAAAGTTCCAATGGGAATTCGTCTTGTCTATGGCAAATGAAGCGTGAACTGAGAACTAGGAAGCATTATTGAACAGCCGTTTCGACCTGGTTGGGTCTTATCAATACAGTGCGAATCCATCGACCCAACTGGGGATCGAACCCGGGACTTCATGGACAGAATGCAAGCATGCTACTCATTCGGCCACCCAGGTGCAGTTTATCAAACCGTTTTTTTGTTTTCATAATAAATCTCCAAGGTGAAGAAGAAGTGGCAGTGAATGTTGCATTGTAGAAGTGATCGACTAAACTGCCCAGGTTAAATACATCAGGGCAGATATTCGGTGTCTTGTGAAGGTTCACAGACGTGTATCGTTGATCACGAGTAATATGGAAATCACAAATTGTCCGGATAGCTTTATACCCGTTCTCTCTCGTACCAACAGCGCACGCCCACACACACCCCCTTCCTGTAGTCCGATGAAAAAGGTGGAAGGATTGGTGTGAAAAGTTCGCTCAGTTTGCAAACGTTAGGGGCTTTGTTTGTTCATCTGGCGCATTGAACGGACTGCAGGGGTATGTAGCAAACCATTTCTTCACACATCAGCCACCAGGTTTGTGTCGTCTAACTTGTGATGAACGTTCCTTGTGAGGATGAGACAGCAGAATTACCTTGAATAGTGATTTAATTATCGCATCACTACGTTTCGGGTTTGTGATTCCAATCACAAGCTGAATAGTCTTGACTGAACTCATCGAAGAACATCATTTGTTCGGTCCGGTCTCATTGCATCATCCGAGTGTTTGACGCTGGCTGGTATGGATGATGTCTCCCTGTCAATTGGATGAAAACTGTCCCGTTTCACGCTTGCATTACTTGGATAATCTATTTGTGTCCGTATTGTGCCCATCCCAGTCGTAATCGGCACATGACCTGGCGGGCAAAAATCTGCTAGTAATTTTGTCTTCATTTCTGTTTTACAAATCACGACTAATTGGGTTACTCCTAGTCCTTGGGGATCGGAGTGGCACAATCCAGATTGATTGTTACATGTTATCGCGCACATTACCCCGTCAAGTGAGTACACATAATAAGCGATGAAGAGTATAAGAATGTGAAACACATGTAAAAAGTTTCCTTGAACCACACATGTCTACTGAGTAAAATGTGGATGCTACTTTCCAAATGCATATTTTCTAATTACCCGAATGCCTAAAACGTTGGTTCACTTTGACATACAAGCAACATTGTTCGTTGAGTTTAAAGTTAAAATCACGTTGTACAAACGGTCGAGGTTAACTAAAACAACCCTTAATTCGATGCTAGGTTAAATAACTAGAGTATCAACGAGATGAGAAGAAAGTACGCGGTGTCGAGAAACGGGATTAGCAGAGAAAAACTGGAAAACAAATTATCGAATACCAGTGCGCATAAACACACCGGACAGACAAGGACAGATTCACAAACGAGCATACATACCAATAAACAGGACCGGTCTCCCCGGTAAATAATGCGGTGCACCGGCCAATTCAGAAAATTGGCTGACTTTTAGAATGAAATCAATATTCGGTTCGCCACGCTTGCATTCGAAAAGCTTTTGAACTTGATGTCTATCCGTTTGTTCACACGCGTTGTACACTTCCACGACGGTTGTCTGAAGGGGTGGGAGATAACAATAATCCGGAAAACGTGATGGTTGAACAATAATTTTGACAAATTTCATGCAGGAATGGTCTTATGTGTTTTCCTTATTTTCTTCCAAATTATTAGGGAATAGTTATCGACAAACAACACCAGGGTGTGCGCTAACGATATCGACTGCCTTGTATTGTACCTTTGATCGCACAAAAAACCTTGAAATTACAAAACCCGATGCTAGAGCTCGTTTATAAAAATTCCGTTACTTATAAACTTCCATTTTTTTACCATTTTATTTTAATCCCGGTTTCATTGCCTTAAGTGTTTTGTGTTAGAAGAGTCTAACATCCATCGCTGACCGTACACTAACTATATTCGAATGCGAGATCCCAGAGTAGATTACGATATTAGCGTCATTAGCTTGCAGTGAACACATGTGGTGGGCTCGCTGTCTACACACATCGGAACTATGCGATATGCCTGCTAAATCCGAGCAGTGGTGGCCCGGTGGTAATGTCACCCGGAGGACGAGTGCTCGAATCCTACCACCACCACCGCCGGACTTTCCACATTTGTGTGTTGTAAAGCCACCACGCGTTTGATTGGCCGCTTTCGCATCTCGTGAAAATTGTATTATTTTGTATTCAATCGAAAGAAGGAAAAATGAAAAAAAATCTTGAACAACTAA